CCTCGGGGACCATCCCTCCTCGCCCATAATTATTATTTTTATTTTATTTTTTTGGCTCTGCGACGGGCGACGGCCGTATGGTCCCTCCCTGCCGCCTGCCGCGCAGTCCCACCCTCGAACGAACCAACGTCTGCTCGGTAGATCTGCCTTCTAGACTTGAGCAATAATGCGCACTGTTTTATTAGTACACTGCGCGCTTGAGATTAAAGTATGACATTTTTTTTTACTATTAAACGGAATCCCTTGGAACAGTTAAAAATGCGCAGTGGGTGCCTCTGCTGACGTGGGGTGAGTGAAGGGCTGGAGTGAGCTGGGCCAGGCTCCTCCGCGCTCGACTGGGCTCGAAATGAGAAGTGCCAGGGGGAGCCCGAGCCAATGCCGCCCGTCCTTGATCTGAGTTCCCGGTATTATTGTTCTACAAATGCCGTTGCATGCAAATTGGTTTCATTTGAAAGCAGAGAACAGTAGGGACGACACCTTCAGGCCCTTCGACAGCGAGCAAGTCGTTGCCGATGATAGGCACGCAATGCAAGTATTGCCGCCGATGATGGTCATGCGACCTCAACTGCGGCGGCTTATAGCGGTCACGTACCATGATGCATTCGAGGTTTGAGATGAATGTGGATCAGGCTGAGAGAGGGGGAGGAGAGAGAGGAGAGAGAGGGTGCGGGGGTAGTACCATTCTCATCAGAATATGCGTGGAAACCATCAGTTTGCTTTAGCTCGTGGAATAGTCCGTGAAGCTCATAGTTTGTACCACGACACGAACCTGTTCTCTCGGAAATCATTTTGCAGCCCGCTCCAGCGCTCCAGCCTATCGCCTAATGAGGGCGTCATATGTGACCCGGGAAAAGAGAGACGTCACACTCGTCACACACACACTCGTCACACACTCGTCACACACACACACACACACTCGTCACACACACACACACACACACTCGTCACACTCGCGCTGCGCCATATACGCCCGCGCCATTAATTAGAGTTTGCCTCGTTATTTTCTTTAATGTCTGTGTGTGTATGAGGGTGATAGAGAGGGGGGGAGAGGGGGAGGGAGAGGGAGAGGGAGAGAGAGAGAGAGAGAGAGAGAGAGAGAGA